CTCCCAGTCAACCACTAAACAGCTAAGATTGCATATTTTGAAAGTAAAAATGATGAATTATATTAATTTGAAGCACATTATTTGAAAACATAATCTTAACTTTGGTTTGACCTTATGTTACTTAAATGGCAAATTCAAACGGTTGTATATAGTACTTACGTCCTTTTGTTCTCCCATGCTTCAAAAATAATAAACGGTCGAAACTGACTGCAAAAACCAATTAATATTAGAAAAAAACAACACAAGATAAACTGCACCTTTCACTAGAAAACATACCACAAAGAAATGTTAAAGCATACAAAAACACTTCATTACACTTCACGAAAAACGAATGAATTGGGACAGTTATTTTCATTATCCTGAAAATCATGAAAAAGCACTTACAACCTTTTAATACTAGAGCGTCGAATTGACTTGGCACAAATTTGAAGTATGATGAGATGGTAAGTCATGCCCTTGAACAAGACCCTAGATCAAAGGTCAAGGTCACACTAAAAGGTCAAAGTGTTAGAAAATCAGGTCAAGCCAATAACATGGCCAACAAGCATTAAGGGTTTTTGAAATAACTTCGCACGAATGTGAAGCATGATAAGATGGTGAACTATGCACAGACCTAAGACATGTATTTCCATGGTCAACTTCACACTTTGCGGTCAAAGATAAGCTGTTAAAAAATCTAATCTGGACTGGGTAGAACTTTTTCAATGAACAGGCTAAATCAAACCGAGTCTGCAACATTTTACAATTGTGCCGTTTTGGGCTTTCTTTATGTATTCTGTTTTTCACTTTGGCATTTTCAACACTTCAAAATTCTAAGTCTACAGAAATTACGGTGGTAGAAAATAAAAAAGTTATGCCAAACATTTCCTGAATTTTCCTGCTCTTAAAGATAAGTGTATTTTACGCCTGAAAAAGTGATTTTACGTCTAATTTCCGTGTCTTTTCCGACTACATGTACTTTACCGCTGGAATTTTTGTACGGAAGGATAGTCTATCATAAATTTTTGTTCCGTCGACTGAACAAATATCTTTCACAGTAACTCTTGAACAGAAGTTTTATAGTAATTTTTATGTTAAGTAGACCAAAAAATATATTACATAGGCATTCTTTGATAGAATTTTTATGATTTGGTCAAAAGAATAAAATGTGAATTTTTGAATTTTCATTGAATGTAACATGTCTTTTTGATATAATAAAATTTGTCATTGTAAAGCAATTTTGTTTCATTTGACTGACAAAAATGTCTTATACAGACTTTTTATCGTATTTTCCTTGTTTGCAACCGAACAAATATCTTATAGTGGAATTCTTGAACAGGATTTTTTATTGTATTCTTTTGTTCGGTTGACTAAACAAATATCTTACACATGAATTCTTGAAAAGGGATTCTATGATAAATTTTGTGTTTGCTCAAAGAATAAAATGTATTTTTTTATATTTTTCCAAAATGTCCTGTACAGGAATTCTTAGACAGGATTTTAAATATTTTCTTCTGTTCGGTTGACCAAACAAAATTTACAAAATTTTGATATTTTCATTAGATCAGGGACCAAAAATATTTTTGTCATAGATTGGATGTACCACGATTATTCTATCTCATATAAAATATGCTTTTGTATAATATTAGAAGTTTTGTTCGATTGATCAATTAATTCTTATACAGTATTTTATTTTATATTTTTTGTTCGGTTGAGCAATTTTATATAATAAAAGTAAATTTACATAGTTTCCTTAGTCACACGTATTAAAAATATCCAACAACGGTGGTGCTGGCGTGATTTTCTCAGTGAATGTTAACTTGTGTGTGCATTTAAATTAAACAAGAACATATCATAGTAACATAATAAATAAATAAATAAAAAAAATATCGGACTTTTTCATTTTAAAAAGTCCGTAACGGAATATTAAGTTATATATTTTTTTTATTTTAAATTTGTTAAACAAAACAGATATAATGGAAGAATTCTCTCATTATGTTATCCTCACATTACGCTGTAATAGGATATTTTCCAGTGATGCTGTATTTGGGGATTTTCTCCCATTCTAATTTGGGGAAATTTCTCCCATTGCCTTAATGTGTTATTCCGCCAATGGGAGAATTGAAAATTTATTTAAAAATTGCTTTGAATACTTAAGAAATTTCATAATAAGTATATAATGATTAATACATGTGAAAATATTCAGAATTTCTTTTTTTTTCTCCCACGGATTTTTAATCCTATTTTATGAAAATGGGGATTTAAAAAAAAGGAAAAATCTTCTTGGATGCCACACTTTGAATATTTGCCCAGTGCTTAACTTTTGTGCTATCTTTGTATAAACGGCAAATTTTCGTCTTTTTCCTTTCAATTTATTGTTTGATTTAACTTTTCGTGTTGAATTTTTATTAAATAGGTAGTTGAGTTGCGAAAATTTCGGATTTTGAAACTTATTCCGGCATGTCCGGAGGCTGTTATATGCAGTATTGCCTGAGACACGTGTTTTATAATATTTTTTTTATACCTCACGAAAACGTGTTATTATATAGCCTTATGTGACATAACATGGCATTTTTTCGGTCTTTTATCCTCAAAATAAATACCATTTGGTCAATAACTTTTAAAATATTCCAAAGGAGCGAGTAATGTATATACATATAGTCTTAATAAAACATTATCTTCTAGTTCTAGTTTTCGCAAATTATATTATTTTTATTATATAACAATTTAAATAATTCTCTATCCTAAAAAATCTGGAAAAATGGATAATTCATGGTCAATGTTTAGTTCTGCTGAGGTCGGTGCTTAGGGGCGTTGACGGTAGCCTGCAGTCCATGAACAGGTTCAATCAAACCGAACCTACAACTTTGCCATGTTGGACTGTCTTGAGGAATTCTGTTTTTCTCTTTTTAGCTCATATTTTCGTTGTCAAGTTGCAGCTGAATTAGTAATATATTTCAAAAGATTGACTTTAATATTAGTCATTGACCAATTTATAATCAGAACATTTAGGATAAAATATGAAAACCAACTTAATTATAAAAGAAAAGGCTGCTTAACTCTTTTTTAAATTTGAACGCTACCCATATATTCCGAATAATATTTATAGAAAATGGCGCGGGTCACCTGGGTTATTATTTTTGCAAATTACATTAACAATATAGAATTTTTGCACAATTTTTGCAAAATTCAAAGTTAAATTTTTCATTTTACCTGTGCACTCACCTTTTACACTTTAAATATTATTATTAAGTATTGTGTAGATCATTATACATTTATTGTCGCCAGAGTATTAAAATAATTTGGGATAATCGTCGAATGAAAAGGGCACATGATACCAGAAACCTTTCTATAAAATAAGAAAACAACACCCATATTGATTTAAGCTGCATTATTCTGTATATTAAATCAATTTGAATTCAAACATGCAAAGTGAGCATAGATTTTGTAAGGCTTGTATCCATTACAAAGTATCAAGAAAAAGGATTATATGAAGTACATCAGATTACGTAACGTGATAAGCACGTTTTCGTTCATTTATTGTTCGTGATTGTACGATGATGAAAACGTGATGATACGATCATAATGACGTGATGGTACGATGGTGATGACGTGATGGTACGTTGGTGAAAACACGATGGCGCGAAGGTAATGACGCAATGGTACGATGATGAAAACACGAAGGCGCGATGGTTTTCAACATCGTACCATCGTGTTTTCACCATCGTACCATCGTGTTTTCATCATTGTGTCATCGTATCATCGCATTTTCGCCATCGTACCATCGTACATCGCGGTTAAGGAAAAAAAAAACAAGAGCTGGTTGAACCGGGTGATGCTCCCCGAGTAGGTTTTGGACACAGAAAGTATACCTCTTGAAGTGTAAGTGTTATGTCCCTTTTAAAGTTCAAAGTGTAAAAATGAACAAAAGGCAATAACTTCAAAATTAAGCAAGACAGAGTTATTGCACATTTAATCAATAAAAGCTATATACCTACAAAGTTTCATGTTGATACCTCTTGTTGTTTCAAAGTTATGTTTCGGACAAGAATAGCGGACCGACGGACAAAGCGGCGACCATATGCTCATTCTTCGGGGTGTACAAATATCACGATTATCTAAGTCCATATGTTATGCAGAGGAAAGAACACCTGCTATGTTTTTTCTATTTATGATTTTAAAAATATCTGATGAAATAATTGGATCTTTGGTATTTTTCTTTGATAAAAAATATGTTTACATTCTAAAAGGTAGTAAAATCCTTCCCCAACTATGAACTCACATAATGTACATTTTCTAATAACTGTTTTATGCAAAGATCTAGTTTCTACTGGCAATTTATGGTTTCTTGTTCTAAATTCGATCAAATATATAAGTAAATTACGTTGTGTATTTGTGAAATACTTTTAGAATTCGAATTTGTGTTTTAAATTAGATAACTTATTTTATTTACTCTTGTACATGTTGTAATGTCAAGGGTTTTTTCACTTTCTCTGGTACTCAAAAACATGTTTATCCATTGTTCTTAATTCATTCGCATATTTAAGTAAATTAGGTAGTGTATTTGTGAAATACTTTTAGAATTCGAATTTGTGTTTTAAATTAGATAACTTGTATTTTTTACACTTGTAATGTCAAGGGTTTTTCACGTTCTCTGGTACTCAAAACCATGTTTATCCATTGTACTTAATTAAAAAGACCATCAAATTGTATTTGGATATATAATGGTCCGGTCTATTATTGACACGTTTTCCATAAGTATTTCAAATATTAATATTTAACAAACAATCGAAATGTGTCACTTGGGACTTCCTATAAAATATTTTTTAAAGGAAGATGTTGATACAGTTTTAAATGATCTAATATGAATATTTCTATGACGAATGTTGTTCTTTATCAGTGTTTTATCTGCTGTAAATAGATATGTCATATCGGAACTTTTTTCACACACTTAGCAACATCTTTTAATAATAATAATAATAATGATAAAAAATAATTTCTCTAACGAGATAACTTAGGGATTCTGTTTTTCTCTATTTTATTTCAACAACAAAACAATATTCAATGAGGCCCTCAACAATGAACAGTATGAAATTAACATATTCAAACTATTAAAATACATTAATATCAATATAGACATGATACTATCAATTTATTTACATCGCTGTGTTATAATATCTAAAGTTTAAGGTGTTAAAATGGTTCACAGATGTACCAGACTTGATATAATCAGGAAGGCCGTTCCAAATACAAAATTCAAAATACACAAAAAAATGTTCAGTATTTAGTCTAAGGTTATAAAGTTGAACATCAGATGATGAACGCAAATTGCGAGTATGAACATCTGACGATAAAATGGAATTATTCAATAAATAGGAAGGCTTCTGATAATTCATTATCTTAAGCATTATAATAGCTTTTTGAAAATCAACCCTCTGTGAAAAGGTCAACTAGTGGAGTTTCAGAAAATTGTTCTTCATATATAATTATTTCACGGCTTGTTCTCACATATGATATTTAATTCTATCAACATAATTCTGCTATAACAGACCTCCCTTTACAGACCAATTCACTTTTAAACACTATTATCTGTAATCGATTTTAACAACTATCTTTTGAAGTGTTAATTTGTGTCGTAGTAACAGTTGGTACACTCACTCACTAGATGAGGTATAGCCATACAGAATTCAGTGAGGGTTATTGGGCCATCATCTGCAAATAATAATAGAATTGACAGTAAATAATGTGATGGTAAAAAGTCACCCGAAAGGTTTATACTACCCAACAGAGTGGCTGAAAGTCGAAAGGACATTTAACAATACGAAATGACTTTCAAGATAAACCTCAATTCTGAAACTCGTGGAATATATTCTAAATAAAAACAATAATGTTTGATAATTTTAACTCACCATCCTTTGAAAATACGAGTGCGAAAATTTCTTTCGCTCCCTTTTTAACACCAATTTTAGACTCTAGTTCATCTTTACTAATAAGCCCGTCTCCATCAAAGTCATAGCTTTGAAATACGCAAGGATTCTCTGTTAAATTAAGTTCCAATTGTGTTCCAATCTGAAAATATTTACGACATATATTTAAAATCAAGTTTACTTGAAAATAGACTTTGAACGTTTAGTTATTAAAGCTACTAAAACAAAACGGGTCTAAAAACATTAACACATTTGTTTACAGTTATAAAATATGTATAAACATGATAAAAGTGAATCTTGAATTTTCCACGAGATAATCTATCAGTTGTTATAAACCACTTGACACAGATATGAACAATCCTTTTATCACAACTTACTATATATATAATTGTCAGTTTTTAACCGGATAACCGATATGTTCTTCTGTTTTGTCTCTTTTTTTCTATTTTATACTGTGCAGCAGTCGATTTCAAGATAAAGAAATACCAAGCTCACACAACCAACAGATCTACTTGCAGCCAGTTAACGGGTGTGTATATAATTTATGTCAATATTTACCAAATAAAAAGTTGCAACGGTTTAAAATTCCAGCAACAAAAACTTCATTTTTTATGTTTTTACTAAGGACAAAAAAAAAGAAGAAATACCTAGTTCCATATCAAAGCACGAGTCTGTGGTTAAATTTTATATTTTGATGACATTTTATTTCAATAACGTCCAAACAACAATATGTGGGATTGAAGCTTTAAAATCAGAATTATACATTCAAATTGTTTCAATATGTATGTAATTAAAGATGACAGTCCTAAATGCATCATTTTATGTTTATACAAAAGCCTTAACATTTCAGAAAGTTGTTTTAAAAATTAATTCCAAACAGTTTCGTCTAGTATACATCATCGCAATATATTAAAGGCCAATTTACATTAGAAATACTTATAATTCATTTTTATTATTTATTTATTTTTGTATTTATTTATTTTATGAATATTGTGACAGTTTTCAAAAAAATATACTTTTGCCATATAGATGAATATCTTTGCTTCTATCGCTTTGTTGGCATTTGGTTTAAATCAAGTGATTAATTATTCTGTTTGGATGTCAAGACACTACTTAATTACATTTTGCTTCCTTTACGACACATTTAGTGCTATTTCTTTCAGTTTTCATCTATTGTCAGAGATCGAACATACTCTGAATCCTATATCAAAACAAAAAATCATTAAATACAAAATTGACATTTCTGAAGTATCGATATGGATTTTTGAGGCTTAATGTACCTAATAATTTTGCTTAAAAGCTGTCTCCAACTAAATATTTCAAATTTGATTCTTTTAAATCTTCAAGAGCTGCAAAAAGCATGTTACTTTATTTTTTGTTTCGATAGTTTTCAATGAAAGGAAATAAAGTAAAATGTTGATGTCGGGATGGAGAAGGTTTATTCCATTCGCTAAAGCTCACCAAAATACACTTTCTCGCTCAATGGATAAGCCATCTCCATCCCGACATCACCCATGTATTCTCTTAATGTTGATGAAAATACTCTTTCGTTTTTTATCGATATCTGTATGAAAAATTAAGTATGATAATGTATAGAAACAAATTGAATTAAATGATGAACCTTTCTAAGAATGCCCGTTTTGATCATGTTCTTCGAATCTGTAGATCTTTGCTTTCTAAGTGGACAGGATTTGGGCCTGTCACGGCGCGATTTTCTGCAAGAATTTCCAAACCATACCTCGTTTAGAAGAACAAAAGCAAGCAGGAAAAGTTTGAAGTCCTGAAAAATAAAACAATTAAGAAAATCGCATAGTTAAAGATAGAAGTTTTGCTCATCTTTGGAACAAAATAGCTTTATTGCAGAAATTTGTTTAAAATCTAGCAAATATGTTAATTGTGTAAGATGACCTCAGTGCGGAATATGTAAGTTTAATATATATGTAAGTTATGCAAAATGACTTATTTTGATTGATGTTCCCAGAGAATGAAGCATTTTATGTTTTCAAAGACGAATTTGTTTTTATCTATTTATCATTTATTATTCTTTTAACAATTTTCGCTAATCTTCAACTTAACAATTATAACAATATTAAGATTTGTTTGAGCGGTTTGAATTTGTGAAAAATAATGTTTTAAACACAAGAAACATGCAAAACACGAAACTCACCATGATATCCCCGGTAACCGGTGTCCCAGTACCTACAAAATGATCCCAATTGCCTTCTTCAAAGAAGTTAGATTAATGACCACTGTGTACGCATCTTGAACTTTTTATAAGAAACGGATGGCAAAAAGAGTAGGAAGTCTGTCTAATAATTATCACGTGACTTAATTGACTATCAAGAGTCTAAATATTCCACAAAATTTATTTGTCATGACTATAATGACGTTGCATTTTTCCTCGTGTCTTTTAACAAGGAAACTATTGTAAAAAAAATCTTTTTATTGTTTGTCTGTTTTTTCCTTTTATTCTGTCCATATCGTTTATTGTCATATTCATGCAAAGTTGACCAGTATTGGTAACATTATTGAATCAAAGATGCACAACTAAAACGTTAAGAAAGACAAAAAGAAGTGCCAGCAGTACGGAAACGAAGGTAACTTCAACATTTTTTGAAGGGACTGAGTTGGAAATGAGTTTGCTTGTTTTTCAATCAGGAGGTCTTTATGTATGAAGTTTCTCGAAATGACATTCTTTGTGAGTTCAATGTGATTTACGGAATAAGATCCTAAAATATCCCAAGGTAAACAAAATTTAATTCCAATTTAACAGAGCCTTATGAACTAAATTTTAGTCCAAATAATTTGGGTTTACTATCTTTTTCATAAATCTATAGAAAAAGAAGCGGGTCACTTTCACTTTCGGTAGGTTAACAAATCGCGAGAAATATGCTTTTCCCGGAATGGATTCTTACAGAGTTTGGATACATTTCCCGAAACTGAATTCTAGTGTGTTAATATGTTTTAAAGTTTCTTTTTTAAACCATATTGTACAAATCAATATAGTTATGGGGTATAATGTTTCAATAATTTTTATCTAAGAAGTCGGTTTGAGGTTTTGCCAGAAACCAAAATCATTCAGTTGCTTTTGTATGCACCCGCAAAGGCGACGCATATTTCTGGCCAATCCGTCTGTTTATTTGTTAAGACGTTCAGGTTGATAACGGTGATTTTTGAGTTTCCAATATCCGGTTGATTTGTTAAAATTTCGTCATGCAGCTTTTTTTTTGTAAATTATAAGTTAAATTTTTTTTTCTGCTTGCTTACAGATAATGACCATTTTCATGATTTATATTACACTTCTTATTCTTTATTACATGTTTCAAAGAAGAAAATTGCTTTCAAAGTAAAAAGGTGGGTAATTCTGTAGTGTGACACTCGCTATTGATCGGTGTAAACACTCTGCAGGGAAGTCATTTTCCCTTCAGAGTCTCGAACATTTTGTCCAGTTTTTACTTTAATAAATATCTGTTTATTTGTCCAAAGGATAACAGGGTCCCTTTTTGAGTTTCTAAGTGAGACACCTGATTCCAAAGGTATTTAAGGCATTGTTTACGACATTGTTTAAGTATTTATTTTACAGAATTGTCGGTGCTACGTTTGCTAAGCAGCAAGCCAAACTTTCCACTAAAAAATAAAACCTTTCTAAGATAATTTACATAGAAACATTTTTCTACCCACCTCCGCCCACTTTTACTCCCCTTTTTATTTTTTGGTTCCTTCATCATTACTTCAAAGCTATATTTCGATACCTTATATCTTTTGGCAACTGTTAATTAATTTGTTAGGGGTTTATGATATTCTTTTGTTTAGTGTGTATGATATTTTTGTGTTTCAAGATTCGTATTCGTTGATATAGGGTTTAGAAATGTTATAAGTTATAAGTAAAGGTGCTTCTGTTTGACCCAGATTTGTAAACAGACATATTTTCTGATATGATATTAACGAATTCCCATTTTTCGACTTCAAACATGTATTATCTTACAAACCAAGCTACAACAGTACGAGATGTCTAGAGAACATAAAAATCTGGAAACAAAGTTATCCCTCGGAAGCATTTATCACAACAAAATTACGTAAGAATTGCAGACTCGGTTTGATTGAGTCTGTACATGAGGGATAATGAATAAGTGCAACATCCCTCACGCCCCCTAGCACCGGCTTGAGCGGTACTCAATTCTCAACACTTAATAGTGCTGGCATCATTTAATGGAACATTTATAAGTTGAGTATCTTTTGTGATCCTGGACTCTAAATCTTGTCCTCACTATAAGTCTGAAACAACTTGAATATTTTGAAACTTCAATGAAAGTATCACTGTAAGTTTGTGTATGCTTTTATGTTTTAAATAATGTTATACCGCTCAACACGCTTTATCTGTATTTTTCGCCTGCATTTATTTAAGAATTCACAGGAATGAATAGAGCGAAACGTCAGTATAACATCCAAGAGAATTTGTGCATATTGGTGATTTGTTTTTGTTCTTACACATAATTGCAGATCAATGCCATTCAGTGCCCTTGATTGGCCATTTTCTATTTGTTACAAAACCTTGTTGAAGGGTTCATAACAAATGCATACATTGAAAGACTTTGCTGTGTGCAATTCACAATAATACATGTAGTATATCGATAAGATTTGGTATCTAGCAAGAGTCATACCCAATTTTCATTTAAAATTTTTCTATGAACCCTCCGTACCTTTTACACCTGCAAACTTTATTTTGATACGTAGTTGAAGAGAATAAATTGTTTCCAGCCAAATTCTTAGTTTATGAATGGACATAACGAAAGTATGTTTAATATATTTATAAAAAAAACATTTCAGATTGATTATAATCAAATATCAGGTCTGGCTTCAAAATAGATTCGAGTTCCATTCGTTTGTTTGTGTGTTTGTTCCAAATAAATCATTATATAAACGGAAATACACTTTATTTTCTGATAAAAAAAATCTTGTTCTGTTCACAAGATGTGTAATGAAGATGAATTTATTTAAATCTCTGCTCCTTTTAAATGATTATGTGTGTTGTGAATTGCATATTTGTAGCAACATTCTGGTACATCAAAACAACACTATAGATATCAATGATTTAGCTTCTTTAATTTTAGAGACTTCAAAATATGCTACCATATTTCAAAATATGTTTCATTCATCTTTCGCCAAACTGTCTGTCCGACCTCACGATAAAAATACGGAGGGCGCATAAGGTAACGGTATTCATGACTTTTGGGTGAGAGTAATGTAATTAAGAACATGGTCTTTTTTATTTCTTGACCAATCCGCTCTTGTTGTTTGTTTGTGGCCACCGACGTGATCATGGTGATATTTACTGCTTCTGAGAACAAATGTGGTCCTTTAACTTATACATTTTTTACCACACTTTCTTTAGGGATGGTACTATCTCTCAACGTTCACCTTTTTTACCAAAGTTGGACGGTTTGTCAACATGAATGTTTTAAGGTTTTGTATCTTTTACTGGATTTTTACGCCGATTTTAACACGTGCTTGGCCATATCCCGGCGGTTGGCTTCCCTGGGTAACACACCAACAAGTATCAATTTACAAATACATGATTTCTGATACAGAAATGCGATACATATGACCACATGGATTCAATGACCAAGATCAATTTTCTATGCAAAAAGTCGACTTGTCCTAAGATAGCAGAAGCGGCCCCTGAATTCAAAAGCCGATGCTTTTTCGATTGAGCTTAGCGGGCGGACTTTTGCGGTACAGTTTCTTTGAAGATAAATCCGGGGATACAAACAATCTTTTACAGTTACACCTTCGAAAGTAAGTCATACATTGAATATCTATTGTGACCAGTAGTGCACCGTGAAACTATAACAGTAAACGTTTGTTTGTACCCCCGGATCAGCTGGGGAAAAACCCACAATTTACGAGTTTCGGATAACCTTTTGTATTAGTATCGGCAACGGCGTTAGTACCTTCGTTTATCTAACTTTTAAAACATTCTTTTAAAATTTCAAGTAATTACAATAAGTACTGGCTAAGTAACAAATGTTAGCTTCATATGTTCATCCGCTATTACCAGCTTTATTTATTTACAAACCTGTCAGTTAAACGTAGCTTTATTTCATTGCATAATCTTTTTTAGTTTCCACATAACTATATAATGAAACTGTGCTATAATTTCAAGTTGTTATACTTTTTAAAATGTTTAATTCGTGAAGCTTCATAGTTATTCGTGAAGCTTCATAGTTAAAGTGAATATTCAATGAGTGTATCTATAAAATTATCACATGATAATAATGTCCGCTCGCTAAGGTCAATAAGGAGAACATCGAATTAGTAATTGGAGGGCTTCTCGTGATTATTATTCTGAAAAATAGAGTCGTCTTTTTGGTCACTAATCGCTCATCGCTAATTTGGAAATAAAAGTGGAACATTAAATTAGTAATTTCTGGTTAGTCTTCCAGGAAAGCCCGTTAAATCGATCGGCGACCGAGATATGTGTTTTAAATCTGCCTCAAAATAAAACAACAAAAAACAACCTTAAGAGTAATGATATCGAACGGCATCACCAGATATATAATAAAGAATAATTAAAGTAGGACATTTGTTCAGTTTAGCAACTTATTGTCCGAGAGAAAAAAAAACTTTGTGACTTGCACATAGGTGATTGGTGTTGGAAAAAAATGTATCACAACCAATTTATAATACCTTTTTTGTTAATCTTACAGTGTCAATATTTTTATTTTATTACAAAACTTATTTATTTCAGAACGTGCCTGAGTGATCGCCTTTATTGGTTGAGACAAAAGAGATGCAGCCACTGTCTTGGAGTCAGTACATCTCTTAGCTCCAACAGGTGAGGTGGTTTTGAGCCCTGCTGTTGCTTTGATGTTTGAAAAACCCGAGAATAGTCAAAATCATCGTTCCTATACTGCGTTTGTTCGCCGTAAAACCAAACTAAAATAAGATAAAAAAATAAAGACTGTACAATTTTTCCATAATGTGTTTTTATTTAAAGGCATATTGACCGCATTTCGTCATTTTGTACGTTAACTAGGAAGTAAAATGTCTTAAAGGTTTTTGTCAATATTTCCTTGTAAAGATAAGCAGGAAAAAGGTAAAACCATAGACACGTGATACTAAAGTGAGTAAACCAACTTCCTATTCTTTTTGTAATCATATGTTATCAACATTATGACTAGGTGTGACCCTGACCTTGACGCGAGGAAGCCCAAACCTGCACTCTGCGCATCATCTCAGTAATTTGAATATTTCTGTCAAATGATTTTAATTTCCTCATATCAGTTTAAAAGATCAAGAGCGGGAATAAATACATTATGCTTGAGAGTGACCATGACCTTAACCTGAGGAAGTTCAAACATGCGTTCTGCACCTCCTCTCATTATGGTAAAAATTTCTGCCAGGAAAATTCAATTTCCTTCCATACGTGTAAAAGATACAGACCAGAAACAAAACTGCAAACAGACGGACGGACAACCAGCTGCCAAACAAAATTTCGCCAATTTTGTTCGGGCGTATAAAAAGAAAGAAAAATATGGCTTTAATTTTAGAATTTGCAAATATACTGAAAATATAAGAATTATAACAATGTATTTAAAAAAGTTTACTATCTAAAAGCAAAATAAGGGAAAGCTGATTCCTGGTAGGATGTAATTTTAAAATACAACATGCATATGCAAATTCAGTACATGGCCGGGTCAACTTGACGTTTGAATTACGATTGGCTTACAAATACAATTTCAGCAGGAAGCATATTGCATGCGTCATGTTGTACTTAGATAATAATTTGTTTTTGTGAAAAGCTTAAGCGATAATAATAAATTTACTTCCTGCAAGGTACAAACATA